ATGGGCACAACACAAGCCAGAGACCGGAACTGCCAAATGTGAAAGAGGGCCACTGGTTGAGGCAAGGCCACACGCCACAGACGCCAAGGGAACCTGCACCTGAGGGGGGGACCTGCACCTGAGAGGGTTACCTGCACCTGAGGAGATACCTGAAGTGTGGGGGTCTGTGGCATGTGAACCGCGCTGGACCAGTGGCATTGTTTCAAAGGGAAGAGCGTACAACCAGCAAACGAAATGACATGCGAAGAAGGTGAGGGCATGGAGGAGGATTACTTAGCTGGTGGCGTGAGGGCGAGGTCAAGGCAGCTGCAGCACCACCAGCTGCCTCCCTCCACGGCAGCCCTCCTCCCAGCCTTCTTGTGTGCGCCCCTGCACGGCCGCGGGGGAGGGGCGTGAGGGAGCGTCGGTGTTGACCCCACACCCCTCCCCGCCACCTGCAATGCGCACACACAGAGCTAGTCAGAGCGCGGTGGTGGGAGCAAGTTGAATGGGAAACTGTGACTTGAAATCCAGCGCAAGGGAAGGGAGGAGGAGCCACTGGTTGAGGCACGGCCACAAGCTGCAGACCCAAGGGCACCTGAAAAAAAACCTGAGGGGTGTACCTGCACCTGAAGGGGTTACCTGCACCTGAGAGGGTTACCTGATAGGGGTCTGTAGCATGTGAACCGTGCTCAACCAAAGGCATTGTTTCAAAGCGAAGGGCGAAAGAGCAACCGACAAACGAAATGGCAGCAAGAAAGCAACAAGCCATGATGTGGCGGGCAAGGGTGAGGGCATGGAAGTGGGTGACTTAGCTGATAGCGTGAGGGCGAGCTCAAGGCAGCTGCAGCACCACCAGCTGCCTCCCTCCGCAGCAGCCCTCCTCCAGGTGCCTCCTCCCTGCACGGCCACAGGGGAGGGGCGTGAGGGAGCGTCGGTGTTGACCCCACACCCCTCCCCGCCACCTGCAATGCGCACACACAGAGCTAGTCAGAGCGCGGTGGTGGGAGCAAGTTGAATGGGAAACTGTGACTTGAAATCCAGCGCAAGGGAAGGGAGGAGGAGCCACTGGTTGAGGCACGGCCACAAGCTGCAGACCCAAGGGCACCTGAAAAAAAACCTGAGGGGTGTACCTGCACCTGAAGGGGTTACCTGCACCTGAGAGGGTTACCTGATGGGGGTCTGTAGCATGTGAACCGTGCTCAACCAAAGGTATTGTTTCAAAGGGAAGGGCGAAAGCACAACCGGCAAACGAAATGGCAGCAAGAAAGCAACAAGCCATGATGTGGCGGGCAAGGGTGAGGGCATGGAAGTGGGTGACTTAGCTGATAGCGTGAGGGCGAGCTCAAGGCAGCTGCAGCACCACCAGCTGCCTCCCTCCGCAGCAGCCCTCCTCCAGGTGCCTCCTCCCTGCACGGCCACAGGGGAGGGGCGTGAGGGAGCGTCGGTGTTGACCCCACACCCCTCCCCGCCACCTGCAATGCGCACACACAGAGCTAGTCAGAGCGCAAGTTGAAGGGGAAACTGTGACTTGAAATCCAGCACAAGGAAAGGGAGGAGGAGCCACTGGTTGAGGCACGGCCACAAGCTGCAGACCCAAGGGCACCTGAAAAAAAACCTGAGGGGTGTACCTGCACCTGAAGGGGTTACCTGAGGGAATCACCTGAAGAAGGGGGGTCTGTAACATGTGAGCAGTACTCAACCAGTGGCGTTGTTTCAAGAAGACGGAGCAACAGCAGATGAAACGAAAGAAATGGAATGGCAGGCAAGGGTGCGGGCATGGGGGAACGTGTACTTAGCTGATTGTGTGGTGCAGGCGGAGGGGGTGCTTCAATGGAGAGTGGGCAGGGCGAGCGGGGCTTGAAGGGACGGACCTGCGAGGCAGAGAAGGGAGAGAGAGATAGAGAGAGTAAGGGGCAGGTGGGAGGGAGCGACTCTTTCAAACGAGAAGACTCCGTGCAAAAAAGACGGTGCATGTGACGCCAACCACAACCCCACAAGAGCCGCTACCAACCTGAACCTGCACCTGCACCTGAACCTGAACCTGAGGGGGAGTGGGCTCGAGTGGAGTGTGGTGGCAGGGGCGATACTGCAACCTCAACCGTTGAGTAGCGCTGCCCACGCTCCTGCTGACCGCCCTGGTGCTCCCCTCGCCTGCTGCTCGCCTGCTGCCCTCCCCTTGTGCGGGCCTGGGAGGGAAGGGAGGGCAGGGACAGGAGGGCAGTGTGGAGAGGAATGACGAGAGAGCGTCGAGTGCTGAAATTGCAAGAATGATGCGTGCATGAGTGGACAGTTGCAGTGGCACACCCCAGAGACCTCGTACCGGCTGAACCAAAGTCAAATGAATACCTGAGGCTGTACCAAAAGAAAAGATACCTGCTACCTTGGGAGAGGGAGGTCTTTGGGATGGCGCACGGCAGCAAGGGAGCGAGCATGGAAGCGCGTGCAAGCATGGAATGGAAGGCAGAGAGCAGCGAGGAGCAGAGGAGCAATGCGGGGCACTTAGCTGTGGCGAGGGTGAAAGGCGAGTGGAGTGGAGAGGAGGCACGGCTGCTGCTGCTGCGTGTAGAGGCGAGGCGAGCGGATGACACTCAGCTGCTTGCCTCCCTCGCCTCTCCGCTTGCCCATCCGCCCATCCGCCCTCATAGCCGTGCATCTGGTGGGAGATTGAGGCGGCGCAGGCAGGGAAATTGACGCAGAGGGGCACTAGGTTGAGAGGGGACGAGTAGCACATGGAAGGAAGGAGGGCAGGAGTGCGAGGAAAGAAGCAGTGCGAGGAAAGCAGAGGGACATGGAGAGCAGAGCACCACTGGAGCGGAAAACGAGAGCGGAAAACACGGTGCAAGGGAGAGGAGGAGGGAAGCGAGGAGAGTACCTTGCGTGGTGATGGGTGGAGCTGAGCGCGGACATCCAACAACGCGTGGCAGAGCCTGATGACGCCCGCTTGCTCTCGCTTGCAAATGGTCCTCGCCTTGGGAGGGTCAATTTCCTCAAATTTCCGCTCAGGATGGTGCGTCTGCCAAGTGAGACGACAAAGGGAGTTCAAATTACTGGGAAAAACGAAAATCGCGGGTAGAAAAGACAAAGGTTTCACGGAAGAGAAACCGAGCTCCGAAATTTCCTTACTCGGTGACGAGTGTAACGGATGGCGAAATCGCCAAGGTTGAGGTCAGCGCGAGAAATGGCGGACTGGAATGTCAAACGACTTGGACTCGTTCTGTGCTCGCCTGCCAGTCGCGAGAGACACGACCATTAGCTGCTTTTCCGAGAATCGCGAAGCTGACTAAACAACGAATGAACTATCCGATCCATAACTAATTTTTACCGGAATTGCGAGTTCGACGCGGAACAGCCGAGGATGGCGACGACCAGCGAAATCCACGTCGAAATTAAGACTTCACGTGAATCCCGACAAATGGACGTCGAAATGCGACATTCCCACGCGAATTTCGAAAATCGAAGCTGATTGGTAAAGGATGACGTCGTATAGCGACGACTATGGTCCGATTCCGCATCAATAATGCCGTGTAAACGCTCTAGATTGAGAAGAGTACGAAGTCGTTTTGGCAAGGAACGTCGTGAGCCGAGCAGCTAGGGTGAGAAAACGGCAGCAAAAAACGAAGCAGGCGGACTAGAATGAGGCAAAACGAGGCTGCTGCACGAAAGCGTGGGTCCTCGCCACAACCCAACCCCAAGGCTACCTAGATCGACATTCTACCACCTCGAGAGCGTGCAAAAAATCCCCACCGTTCATTAAAACGAAGTTGAACCGCGAAAAAAACGCAACGGTTCAACGGAAATTCTATGGGTTGGTGGAGTTTTGTCGTGTCAGGGATAATCGAACCCCAACCGCGAAACCGGAGGCCAAAAGCTTCACGATTGGTAGTATTCGTGTCGGTGGAATGATGAGTTCGAATCGAACATGGACACGCAGCGCTGTCGGCTCGGCGGGACGGAGGGCAGGAACGCGCGAGTAATTGGCCAACGATAGGTTTCACGGCATAAGGGCGGCGGCAGCCATAGCTCGGGAGGAAAAGCGGGAGGAAGATCTGACACCATCTCACACCCTCTGACACCTGCAACGGCTACCAGAGCCCCGTCCCGCTCATTGGCTATCGTTCGCACACCGACAACGAAGTGAGCTGTAACTGGTCGTGCCTTTCGCAAATACAACGCGAACAGCGGACGTTTTGGCGAGAGATTGTACTGTAGACGTGCCCCACGCACGGAAACTGGTGGGAACTCGGGTGGGTTCAGAATACAACCAGACTCTTGCCATTTTCTAAACAGTACTGGGTGGGAGAATATCACTGGCGAGATCGAGGAGCAGAAAGTTGAGGGAAGTTATTGCGTTCGGGGTAGAAAGGAGGCGAAGCTGCCACCAGCTTCAAATTTCCTGCTACGGTACTATCGAAATTGGCGTGGTAAACTTTACCGAAGGCTCGACCCTGATCCGCCGTGGGAGTATGTGGCTGGGCAGGAAAACTTAGCATGCTTAAGAGTTCCCGAACCAGGTAGGAGAATATGAGGTTGAGACGATTTCAAACTCACGTTTAGATTGAAATCCTCCACGTTCTGATTCAATGGAATGGTCCAACCTGAAGTTTCTGCAAAATTTCTTAGCCCCACCCCGGTCCCCTTGAGACTGAATTCTGGACTTGGTCAGGAACACGTATTGGATCATGTGAATGCTTCAGAAAAGATGAGACTGATTGGACGAGTTGCATAACGCGGATGGTAACATCTTGATCCAGGTTTCGAGTACACAGAAGTTGTACATGGAGGAAGATTGTAGGTGATTCTGGAAATTGCATTTACAGCTGGAAATTTCTGAACTCAATATTGTAGGTGAAACTGAAGAAATCGTACTAAATGCAACAGCTGGCCTTCTTGCATGTTATATGCGTGACAGGAGCTTCAGAATTACATCATTCCAGGATTACAAATTTCTCTGTACGATAATATGAACCATGAAAGCCAGCAATGGCAGTCCATGTCTCAGTTATCCATTACTGGGCACTCTAAGCGTTGGCATCCAAACGAAGTGATGCGCTGCGCAGCAGCAGGTGACGACATCAATTTAGGCAAGCAGAAAAGGGGAAAACGGAGGAGGGAGAGAGGGAGGAAGAGGGTCGGGGGCGAGAATAAGTTAATTTGCATAGAGAAAACATTTACTGTGTGACTATATAGCACCAGAGGAGTGGAAATGAAAGAGAGTAGAACGAGTGTTGGCTCCTGTTACCTGTTGATGCAGTATCGTTGGCGGGTGGGGGGAGGGCCATCGGGGAAGACATGGCCGAGGTGTGCATCACAGGCAGCACAGAGCACCTCCACACGCGGCATGAAGGGGATGGACCAGTCCTTCTCCTGCTTCACGTTGCTGCCTATCTGGTCGTAGAATGACGGCCACCCTGTGCCACTGTCGAACTTGGTGCTTGAACTGACAAGAACAGGCAGGGATCAGGGACTCAGGAAGTCAGGGACTTGGAAAACTAAACCACGGTGCAGGGAATAAAAAAAAGCTCTTTGTAATTTATTGGACCCAGGAAGCCATAGAAACCATCAAGTTCGGAATTATGGAAGAAAGGAGTAAGACAACCAGGGAAGTAGCAAGGTTTAAATGGGAGGAGAGTTAGTGCAGTGCAGGGAAACCCATAGTGGATTATGGAGCGGCAAGTTAGGGGGGCTTGAGGGTCAGGGGTGGCAAGGGTGGGAAGGGTGGCAGGGAGGGAGCGAGAAGAGGGCACCTGAAGAGTGGAGTGTCGCAGCAGATGCAGTGGTACGTGCCCTTGCGCTTCTCGTCCCAGTATTTGCTGCTCACGACAGGGAATGACGGTCAACAGGGTGATTATGGGAGCAAAGCCACGAGATGCAGCGATGGGTAGGGTTAAATCAAAAGGAGAGAAATGTAAAAAGATACTTTATTTCGCCAGGGTAAAGAGTGGGACTACATACGCCATACAAAACGAGGTGCGTGCAGCGCATGGAACGAGGTGATGCACCAAGCGGGCCGCAAAACATCCTTCCAAGTCAAGGGCGCAACGCAAAGCAAGACAGGCACAGGGAGCGCGATGCTCACCCAGTGAAGGCTCGCTCCGTGCCCTTCTCCTGAGTCACGTGGTACTCCTGCTGCGTCAGCCGCTTCCGCAACTCCGCCTTGTCTACCTGCACCGCCTTCACTGCACCGTCACGGGGGAGAAACCGGGCCAGAGGCCGGAAAGAGGTTGCGAAAGAGGTTGCGAAAGAGGTTGGAGATAGGCTCGGTACGAGGTCAAAGAGAGGGTGGGTGGGAAGGTACGCTTCTGAGAGTTTTCCGAGGCGGAGATTGAGTGAGGGAGATCAACGAGCCAAGGGGTGACGCGACAGCTGAACAAACGAATCGAAACGTGGAATCAGGGGCTGGTTTTTTCTTAATCTGAATGATTTCGATTGAGCCGTTTCCGTTTCCGTTTCTAATTCCCTTTTCGGCTTTTGTTTCCCCTTCTCGTTACCTTCTTCGCCGCGGGATGCGGCGACAGCGACGCGTGCACGACTTTCCGACTGCCCCATCCGACGCACGTCGACGCTCACTGCGACGCCCCTAGAGCCTTGCTGCGACGATGCGAGCGAGTGAGCGGGCCTGTTGCGATCGACGAGGGAGGCGGACCGCGGTAGGGTGAGAGAAGTAGAAGCAAGTGATATCGCGGCCATAATTAACGCGCACTGGACAAGCGGCAGCGAAACGCGTGATGCAGAGGGGACAAGGAATCTGGAACAGTCTCGATATTCCCGAGAAGCAATACAGATGACTTCTTGTGAGATAAAGCAATTCCAGGCGTGGGTGGGGCGAATTACTGAAGTGTAGATTGAGTGATTAGTAAGGAAACCGATGCATGTGTTTGGCCGACGCACTGTACAGTTCGAACCCACGTGGCACGAAAAGCTCGAGAGGAATACAGTTGGCGAAGCGGTGTATGACGTGTCGAGTTTTGAGCAAGCAGGCCCAATCGTTCCGCAAATAAGGTCCTCGATATGCTGTCAAAGGTGGACTTCCTGGGTACACAAAGTACGTAAAGTTTGAGTTCAAACTTGCCACGCGAAATTCGGCACATAGCACGTATGTGTTGCGATTTTCACATCAGCAGGATCAAATTCATCATTCTCACATTTCCCTCCCGTGCGCGACCATGGCGGGTTCTCCCGACGCGCACTATCCATTGCACAAGAGCGTCGCCAATTTCGTCCTCGCACTGGTAGTCGTCCTCCCGTCGCTCCTCGTATCGCACAGATTCATCGCCGATGCGAAGCACCTCCCACCCGCCGCATTCTCCTCCTCCACCTCGCCTCCCAACATCTACTTCGCCGCCGTCGCCGCCGCCGCCGCTGACGCGACCGGCGGGAGGAGCCCCGAGTGGTGGTGGCGCGTGGTGGCGTGGGGATTTCGGCGGCCAATCGGGTGCGTGTGCGCGCTATTCGCGGCGAATGTGGACGTACTCTTCTGGATCATCAGCCTGCTGCAAGGCTCCACGTGGGTGCGTTCTTTCGTGAATCATCAGCCTCCTCTGTCTATCCAGAACGACCACTCTGAAGCCCGTGCATTCCGTTCTTCCCTTCTTCCGTCCACCCCTTTTCCCTCTTGTCCTCCTCCCCTTCCTTCCCCAAACATTCCCCAGTTGATCGACCCGTACTGGACCTTCATCCCGCCGCTTATCCTCGAATTCTACGCCGCGCATCCCGCCGCCTCCGCCTGCCGTGCGCGCGCGCTGCTCGTGCGCGCGCTGGTGCTGCTGTGGAGCGCGCGCCTCACGCACTCGTACCTGCGGCGCGAGCGGTGGCGGTGGGGGTGGCGGGAGGACTGGCGGTTCAGCGACATGCGCACGCAGTACGGCCGCCACTGGTGGTGGCTCTCCTTCCTGCTCGTCTATGTCTTTCAACACGTGAGTGTCGCTGGATTTGTAGTCAGAGAAGGGAGCGGGGAGAGCGGCGAGGGGAGTGGAGGGAACGGCTGCATGGGAGAAAGCAAGTGGGAGGTGTTTGTATTGTGGGGCAATTTCTCTCTGGCTGTGAGTGGGAACGGAAGCATATCTGCCTGCTATCTAGGTCACACTCCCTCACTCAGTTCATTTCTCCATCTTCCTTTCCCATCCTCCCCCTCCATGAATCCCTTCCAAACCTCCTCATTCCACCATCCCCTTGCCATTCTCCACAGGTTCTCCTGGTGGGTCTCACCCTGCCTCTCTACGCAGTACACGCCTCCTCTGCTCCCCTCTCCCCTCTCGACCTCCTCGCAGCCGCTCTCGCCGTCACAGGCATCCTCATTGCAGCAGTAGCCGACTCTCAACTACACGCTTTCATGACCAACAATTATCTCCTAAGAGCAGCAGGCAAGCCCCCGGTTCTGCTGCTTGACTCGGGCATCTGGCGTTACTCCCGGCACCCGAATTATTTTGGCGAGCAGCTCTTCTGGTGGGCGCTGGCGCTGTTTGGGTGGAATGTGGGGAGGGGGTGGACGGTCGTGGGGACGGTGGTGAATTCGCTGTGCATGGTTGCGGTGACGGTGCTGGTGGAGCAGAGGATGAGGGGTAAGGCGGAGCGGCGGGCGTTGTTTGAAGCGTATTGTGCGCGGACGTCAGTGTGGGTGCCGTGGTTTGCGGGCAAGCAAAGCAAGGCAGAGTAATAACGAGAGGGTGGTGTATCAGACGTTTTATTCTATTATGGCGTAAGTACGTGGTTTGTAGATTTGTAAGAACGATTCGTGTGGTTCTGCAATTGTATTTTCTATCATTAATGGTTTTGTAAATTTGTTCTGCAGTGGTTTCACAAACACTACAGTTACTGCATTTGTCGAACACTGCCACGATACAAATCCGCGATACAAGGCCTCGGCCCACATCAGTTTTCCCTCCAAACTTTCCGAGCTTTCAGGCGAGGCCTTCTAGCCGCTAGGATTGCCCATACTGACCTCTCCCGCCACATCACATTGCGCTGGATTCCCTAGCTGACGCCACAGAGCAATTTTATATAATTTGTTCTTCTGCTGCGCGTTGCTTTCCGTCCCGCCATTGAGAGTCCATACGCGGGATTCGTCGGCGTCATGGGCGGTCCGAGCCAGCCGTCCTCTATCGCGCGCGTTCTGCTGGTCATCACTAGACGCGCCGCCGCGTCTCGCGCCTCGTCGCTCACATGGGGCGCTGACGTGTCGCAGGCCCTTAAGTCGCGCGGACACACGCTGCCGTCGCTCGACCTAGCGGAAGCACTGGCGGAAGCGCTGAGCCACTGCGCAGACAGCGCTGCTCGCAACGCTGCCCCGCGAGCTTCCGCGGGCCCGGCGGGGGGAACGCGGGGACCGGACGTCGGCGGAACGGGCGGAGTCGGCGGAAGTGTTATGGAAAAAGAGCGGATAAGCGCAAATGGCGAGGAGGAAGGGCGAGCCGTGCAACGGAGGAGTGCGGGAGCGGGAGAGAGGAATAGAGAAGAAAAGGAAGGGGAAAAGCGGAATGAAGAGGAAGAAGAGGGTGAAGAGGAGGAGGAGAAGGAGGAGAGGGAGAAGAAGAGGGAGAGGGAAAGGAAGCGGGTGGAGGAGGAGGAGGCGCGGGTATGGCAGTACGTGGAACATGGCATGGCGTGCCACCTGGTGGTGCCGCTGCACATGGTCGCTCTCCTCGCTCGCAGGTACCCTGCCCACCCACTGCCCACCCTCACACGTGTGATATGACTGTGAAATTTCTTTACTGTCTGACTTACACTTTCACGCGTGCCCGTTAACGTGCTTGACATGCGTCCTTTCCTCTCTGGGCCGTTTTCTGCTCTTCGTGGGCATTCCACTTGCATTGGCCACGCCGTTTGTCATGTGCTTATGTCGTGTACTCGCTCCTCATGACTGCACGCGTTTGTGTGTGTGTGTGTGTGTGCGTGCGTGCGTGTGTGTGTGTGTGTGTGTGTGTGTGTGTGTGTGAGTGTGTGTGTGTGTGTGTGTGTGTGTGTGCGTGTGTGTGTGTGTGTGCGCGCGCGCGCGCGTGTGTGTGTGTGTGTGTGTGTGTGTGCGTGCAACGCACGTGGGTGCGTGCAACGCACGTGCGTGCGTGCGCATGCGTGCATGGGTGTGGCCTCCTGTGTGTGTGGGTGCCATCCGTGCTTCTCCTTATCCCCACCGCACAGCACCATTCAGTACCGCTGGCAGCGCCCGTCATCCCTCCACCGGTTCCTCTTGCTCCTCTCCGACTCCCCTCCTCTCCTCTGGGCCCCCTCTCAATGGCCGCCCTTGCCCCTGTAAGCCTGCTCTTGCTCCTGCTCCTGCTCCTGCTCCTCCTCCTCCTCCTCCTCCTCCTCCTCCTCCTCCTCCTCCTCCTCCTCCTCCTCCTCCTCCTCCTCCTCCTCCTCCTCCTCCTCCTCCTGCTGGTAACCCCATTCCCATTGCATTTCGTTTCGTTCGTTCCTTTTGAATCCTCTCGCCGTCCTTCCTTCTCGTCTCTCATGCGCCCCCTCACTCCACTCCACTAGCTTGTCAACAAATACTTACTCCCACTCTCCTCCTCCCCCAAAACCCCCCACCCCCACCCACCCCCCAAAACGCACCCAGCTTCCACTCCTACCTCTCCTCCGCCCTCTCCCCCCCTCCACCCTCACCTACCAAGCGCCACAGCAGCTGGTCAAAGCAAGCCACTCGGCAATCCAAGGGGTGCAGTGGCAGGGGCAGCCTATCGGATCTGGTGGCGCGCTTTGCACTCTGGCTCGCGAGCTCGCTGCTACGGGCAGTGCTAGACGACCTGTCTGGCCGCAAGCTGCGCAGCATAGCTGTGGAGAAGCAGGCTGGGAAGGTGGGAGCGAGAGAGGTTGATGGTGGTGAGAGGGTGGATAGATTGGAAGGGATGAGGAGTGGAGGAGCAGTTGGGCCTGGACAGGAATTGGCACTACGTGGTACTGCTGGTGCTAGCACTGGTGATGGGGGAGGGGTTGGTGGTGTGGCAGCTATGGCGGTTGATGGCGTCAGTGATGCAGCTGCAGCTGCAGCTGTCACTACCGCTCTATCTGCTGCTACTGCAGCTGATGGATCATATACACATGTCTCTACTGCACCTGATAGCACCACCACCATCAGTCCCGCTAGTACTATTGCTGCTGCGGCTGCTGCTGATGCGGCTGCTGCGGCTGCTGCTGGTATTGGTGGCGGTGTTGCTGGTGGGGGCAGCACTAGAGGGGAGGAGGCGGTAGTGGATGTGAGCAGGTGGGGGGAGGCGCAGTGGGGGGCGGTGAGGGAGAACGTGCTGCTGTCGCTGCATGTGCTGGCGGCCTTGCTGCAAGAGACTCAGTGGAGCGTCTGCCTGCTGCAAGTTGCGCCCACTCACATGTACGCCTCTCTCCCTTGCACCCACTCTTTCCTCCTGCTCCCCTCCCCTCCCCTCCTCTCTCTCCCACTGCATCCCTGCTCGTGCTATGTTCGTGTTGCGGTGCGGGCGGGTATCTGTACGGGTATCTGTACCAGTATCTCAGTGCAGAAATAGACCGTGGAGCAATAGACCATGCGGCAATAGACCATGCGGCAATAGACCATGCGGCAATAGACCATGCGGCAATAGACCATGCGGCAATAGACCATGCAGCAATAGACCTTGCAGCAATAGACCATGCAGCAATAGACCATGCAGCAATAGACCATGCAGCAATAGACCATGCGGCAATAGACCATGCAGCAATAGACCATGCAGCAATAG